TTTGTGGCTTTTGCTTCCAGGGTCCTAGTGTATGAAGACTTGGTAGCAGCCACAACGGAGGAGCCCCTGTCCAGGGCTGAGGCGGAGGAGTCGGGCAGCACTCCCCCCGAGGGGCCCCCACTGCCCATACCCACGGTGACTCCTGCAACCACGGTCCCTCCGGTCACTTCGGTAAGTGGTGTAGAGGCGGGGAGGTTTACAGAGGAGAGAAGGAAAGGCTGACATCCTGGGAGGAGCCTGGCCCTGGCTTTCTCAGAGGTGCGTTTTCCTTTTGGTTTGCAAACTGCCCCATTTGGGATCTCGAGGGGCCTCCAGCCTGGGGAACACACAAGGAAGAGGAAGTTTGTAGAAGAAAAAGCAAGAGGTAAAAATCTAGGGCACCTGGCTTCGTGTCCCACGCGTCCCTTACATTGACATGAGGACTTTCTGACAGGCAGAGCTCACCAAAGATGCAAAGGCCCCTCTCAAATGTCAGGAGGTCCCCACACTGGAGGTGGGGAGCCTGAAAGATGGCCTGGGGTAGGGCTGCAGAGGGGATGGAAGCATCAAAGATGTGTGCGTGGGGAGGGGATCACGTCCCTCCCAACAGGAGTTTCTGGCTGCACCTGTGTAACCTCACGCACATCCTTTCTTTTCTTTGGGCCTCATTTTCTGCCTGGGAAAGAGGGTGGCCGGGAGGTCAAGTCATTGTACCAACTGTGCTTCATGCGTTCCACCTCCTACCCCCACCTTTTGGAGCAGAGCGGAGAGGAGGCTGGAGTCTATGAAAACAAATCCCAAACATTGTCTCATTTAACTCATAAACATGTGCATGTGCATTGCTAGTAGGTTGATCTGGACCTTTTCTGTTTTTCTTACCCACGATGTCATTACCCATTTCACAATGGTTCTTTCCTGTTATCTAATACCGGAGTTTAAAAGAATCTTACTGATGTTTGTTTGAATCTGGATCCACACAAGGTCTACATGTGACGCTCGGTTGCCGTGTCTCTTAAGTCTCTTTTTATCTGTGGCTGTCTCCCCGCTTCTTCTCTTAGCCATTGAGATGTTGAAGAAACTGGGTCAGTTGTCCTTAGGCCCTCCGTGTTTTCTGCTTTGAGAAGTTGGCACGTGGTGAGGGCGTGGTGAGAGGTCAGCTGTGCTGGTGGGAGTGCTGCTGGGTTTATTACTTCTGGGAAATTGTTTGTCAGCACATATTAGCAACCATAAAACTGCATATTGTTGACCCAGAAACTTCTAAGAATCCATCGTAAAGGAGCATTTGATACGTTACAAGGATTTTAATGTGTTGTCCATAGTAGAAATAAAATCGGACATGGTTTAACTAGCTAACGGGTTAGTTGAATTAAAATATATTCAAATAACAGAACATATGCAGCTATTAAAATTATATTTATTCAGAGTACTTTATGATGGGGGAAAATACCACACAATGTTAAGTGGAAAAAAGCTGGTTGTAAACTTGAGCATATTGTGTGGTCTGAACTATTTAAAAATAGACACATGTAAAAACCCTGGAAGGAAATACCCTCCCTAAATGTTAGCAGTTGTTGCCTCAAAGTGGTAGAACCATGAGGGTTGTTTCCACCATCCCCTTATGATTTTTCCAGTGGGATTTTAAAAAGTTCTAAGAAGAGAAGTATGTGTGTGGGGGTGGGGGTGGGGGTGGGGGATGTGGGTTGGGTACTTGTGAGGGTGAGAGAGAAAGGAGAAAAGGAGACACAAACACGCAATACTTCATCCTGACATATTACTAATGAAGATAGATCACCCTGGAGTGCAGGAATCTGCGATGCATGGAAATGGATGCCCTGATTCCTGAGCAAATGGTTTAAAAGCACAATAAGGACAATCAAGAGAGCATCCACTCTGGAAAGTCTTTAGGATAATTTTAAATCTCAGAGTTACCAAGGCAGTGAGTGAGAGAGGCATCCAAGCCTGTTGTGCAACAAAACTGTAGCAAATTTCCTCTCTCTCTCCCTCTCTCTCTCTCTCTTTCTCTCTCTCTCTGTCTCTCTCTCTCTCTCTGTCTCTCTCTCTCACACACACACACACACACACACACACACGCACACACACTTTGCTCATGAATAAAATGGGCATCATAGTACCTACATCTTGAATTGTTGTGAGGATGCAGTAAGTTAGTACATGGAAAACTTTACCTGGCATGTAGTATATGCTCAACAAATTAGTTACATAGAGTTATTATGCAAATGAGGCTCAGAGGGGGTTAAGTGTTTGCTCAAGGTCACAGCTCCCAGGAATTAAGTAGAGATGAGTTTTAGGGTCTGGACTTTCTACTTTTGTTTTCTGCACTGTCCATAGCCACCCTGTTCATACATGATCCAGAAGTTGAACAGCAAATCCCACAGTGGTACCCATGAGGTCATTCGGTTTCTAAGGTCATTTGGCAAATAGAACCTATTATCTGCTGAGTGCAGGTGACATAGCAGCGGCTAGAGGTTAGGTAGATACTAGAAGGTGTTTAGGGGATTTTATTTTGTTCTTTGGAGGAACTGATGGCATTCAACAGGTATGTGCTGAAGGCCTTCTTGGTGCCAGAACTCAGGCTGGATATTGGGCATCCAGAGATGTCTCAGGATTGGGCTGACCCCAGAGGAGTCCTAGTCTAGGGTGGTTGATGGACCGCACACAACTGAGTCAGGTGGTCCTGGCATGAAATCGAGACCTCAACAGAGGCTGGTGGAAACACAGAAGAGAGAGACATTCTGTCTGAAAATGGGGTGGAGGAAGTGATCACTGAACGAGCCTTGAAGGATGAGTAGGGATTTGAAAAGCAGGAAAGGAGGTTGGGGCGAAGATGTGAAAGCATGTAGCATGTTTGAGGACAGCTGGGTGTTGGTGCACAGCTGGGAGGTGGTGAGGGAGGAGGGTAGCTGCAGAGTGGGAGAAGGGGCTGGAAGGAAAGGTGGACGCAGAAGTTAGCAGAGCTGCAGAATGTGGGAAAACTGTCGGTGACGTGGCTGTCCTTGGGGAGTGGCAGTGGAAACCAAGTTGTGAGAATTTTTTTTCTCTGCAGGTGGGAGCAGAGGCGGAGGGCTCTGGCCTGGGCTGGGGCTCGGAAATCGGCTCTGGCTCTGGTGACCTGGGGCTCAGTGAGGAGCTGTTAAGAGTGAGTATGAGGGGTGACATGGCCTGGTGCCTGGTGGCCTTCACAATGGAGGGAGGGAGGGAGGGAAGCGAGGGCAGACACCGGACGGAACAGATTGCCCACCAACAGTAATTGTTGAGGCTGGCGGTGGGCTCCTGGGAGTTCATTATATTGTATATCTTTGTATATATTTCTCCACGTTGATAGTTTTGTTAAGTGAGTATGAGCCTAAGTTTACATTCAGAACCCCCACCTCCCCACTTGC